TTTTGTAAAGCGATGTTCTCAACACAATCCTTCCCTCTGCATAAGAAGACGTTTAGTTGAGTTTTTCATCCCAAAATAGAGGATAATAAAGTTGTTTGAAAATTTAATCGAGTTTGAAATATCCAGAAAAATGTGCTGGAAGTATCCTATCATTAGTTACCTTTTCTTCTAGATTTTCTTGATTTTTACTTCAGTTCAGCTTGTAATCTATTCTAGCAAGTAAATTTTCATGCAAGATGCCTTTAAATTAAGTTTTGATTTAGCACTCTTTAAGCTTTTTTTCTATGCCGGTACTACTTGACTTATGTCACAAATCAGCTTTGCCGCCTAAACCTCAAAAATCTCCATTTTGTACCTTATCCACTCAGAGTGGGTATTATACAAACATTTCCTACGTGCCCAAGTCGGTGGATGGCATTAATGAGAAAGCTAGCGTGCTCCTGTTGATAGCCATGAGGTCAATTTTATTTTTATGCTCCAAAAATTCTATAAGGTCCTATTCAGATTTTCGCTGCACTTGAATTGCTCCAGCTTGAGTGACAACCCCCATCGCAAGGTTGGTAATTGCTCAAAATCATGCAATTACTAGCGACTTTTGATTCAAAACATTCAGTGAGCATCTAGTAAACGAACTTTTGGACAATGCAGATTAGGCTCAAGAGCACCGTTCAAACAACAGTACAAATTCATTCATGCTCCTGCTTCACAAAAGCTCAACACTTCACTCATGAGAAAACTATGAAGAAGAATATGAATACAACAAAGCGAAAGAAAGTAAATGATAGATTGCATATAGTAGATCAATTGAATGAATGACAATGACTAAATGCAAGTATCAAAGAAACTTCCCAAATAAGGTTGGTCCTAGATCTCCTATGCATTAACAGGAAATGATTGACTTTCGAGAGCTTTTTAAAGTTCTTCTTCCTTTGCTGTAAAAATATCAGTGAGCCGCTATCGGACTGTGACCTTATCTACCTTCACGATTTGTTTCTCTCTGCAAAAAGAACAAGGCTTGCCATAATTAGCATGTTTAAATAAATGTTGGATTACAGTGGTGATGCAGTATGGGACTGTTAGACTTTTTTTGTGAAACATGTTAGGGTGCTCAGTCGCACTCTAGCATCTCGCTGAGCTACGAAAACACCAAAGAGTGGGAATTCGTCAGTTGGCACGCTCTCGTATGCGACTGTCATAAGGAGATACGCGGTCAGACTTTGATGTAATCTGATAAGCCTCGAAGAATTACAAATTCCTCAATGCATTGCGCATTCAAATTTCCAACATTTAAATACTTCTTTGAAAATGATCATTTGGTACATGTTATATCACTACTCAGA